CACCCCACCCACTCCTCCCCGTACCTGAGGTCTCATGAAGCTGGCTGGCTTGCTGAGACACGCATGTTCTCAGAACACGTGGGAGCAGTCTGCTCAGGCAGACCTGGCTGTGCGCTGGCTGAGACCCAGCAGATGCTTCCCCTGGCTCAGCCCCCTCCCCAGGTGCCACAGGCCTGGTTAGAGGGAGGGGCCGGAGGCTGCACCTGGTTACAAGGAAGCCTAATGATTCAGATCAAGATGGGGACAGTGTGGAAAGTCCGCAGGAAGCCTGAGCAGTGATTCAGTGCGTGTCCAGGGCCAGCAGGTCTGGCCTGGTCAGGGCCCCATATCCCTGTGTGCTGGGGGAGCTGGAATGTCCAGGGCAGGACTGGGGGCCAAGCAGGCCATGGCTCTACTTTCTGCGGCCTTGAATCCCCAGCACTGACTGGCCCATGGGCCCCTTCCCACTTTCCCTGAAGCCCAAGGTCCAGCTCAGTGGACCATGCCCCACCTTGGGCCCACAACACAACACTCAGGCCTGACCCTTGGCCCAGACATGGCTGGCCAGCCTGGCTCCGTCAGCCGCAATCAAACATGGCCACACTGACTGTTGGGGGATGGGGGAGGCCATCGAGGCCCAGAGTCAAGCCTTCCCAGGACGCCCAATATTGGCCTCGGGGCCCACGGACACAACGCAGTCTCTACCCTGAGCAGGTCACCTGACCTACTCCTGCCCACAGGCCCCTGCCCCACTTGGGGGATGGCAGCAGAGACCCACCCAGCCTCAAGCCTGCCTGGACGCCTGTCCCCTGTGGGCCCTGCCCCCGCCACCCAGGCTCGGCTCTGCTGTGATAAGACACACCTGAGGAGGCCGGGTGGTGCCCTGCCAGGCGCTGTGGGGATGGCTGCAGGGTCAGTTCCTAGTGTGGAAAAGCCTCTGATGGGGCCTCTTTGGAGCTTCAGCAGGCTGGGCCGTGCCACTGGTGGCCAAGGGACACATCTGTCCTGGGAGTTCCCAGGGACAGAGAATGGAAGTCCACTGGCTGGGGTGGAGAGGCCTGGGTGGGGGTCCGGCTGGGCCAGGCCCTGCTGAGGCTCGCTTCTCGGACACAGGCTGGAGAAGTGGCCCAAGCAGCTGGTAAGGGGCCCAAGGCCCGGAAGTCCCCCCTGGCCCAGCCGCCACCACCGCAGCCAACTGAGGAGGGGCAGGGGGAGAGGCTGGTGGAGCTGCACGCCTCCTTCAGGGAGCTGTTCACCTTCTTCTGCGCCAACGCCACCATGCACGGCGCCATCCGCCTCGTCTGCTCCAGCCAGAACCGCCTCAAGACAGCATCCTGGGGGCTGCTGTTCCTGGGCGCCATGGGCGTGCTCTACTGGCAATTCGGGCTCCTCTTCGAGCAGTACTGGCGCTACCCCGTCATCATGACCGTGTCCATGCACTCAGAGAGGAAGCTCTTCCCATCCGTCACCCTGTGTGACATGAACCCACACCGGTGAGGCGGGGTGGGGTGGAGGGTGCGGGCGGGGGGAAAGGGCTCCAGCTGTGCCTGGGGTATTGATGACTCCACCTCACGCCACCCCGTGCGCGGGCAGGACCCCTGAGACGCTGCCCCCTGAGGGTGGGTGTTAAAAGAGAAGGAAGAGCCGGGCTTGTGGGCTCAGTGGTTGAGCCTCTACCTGTGAACCAGGAGACCCCCGTTCGATTCCCGGTCAGGGCACCCGCCCGGGTTGCGGGCTCGATCCCCAGTAGGGAGTGTGCAGGAGGCAGCCGATCAATGACTCTCATCCTTGATGTCTCTCTCTCCCTCTCCCTTCCTCTCTCTGAAATCAATAAAGACATATTTTTTTTAAAAAGAGAGAGAGAGAGAGAAAAGGAAGAGCCAGGTGAAGCTTGGTGTGATCAGTGGCACCTGGCAGGCACCCAGGTGCTGGGCAGCCGGGGAGTGTGAGGAGAGCTGGGAGGGGGCTTCCGTCATGGGGGCCCCCGAGAGAAGGGTGCAGGGCAGCATTTCAGGTGGGGAGGCAGCAGGAGCAAAGACAAGAAGCGGCCGTGAGGTCCACAGGGGCCAGGCCAGGCTGGGGCCTGACTTCACGCTGCAGGCCAGGCTCCCAATTCAGAACCTCCCTCTGGGCATCCCAAGGAGGGGGAGGGGCTGCTCTGTTGATTTGGGGTCAGCACGTTGGGGCGGAGAAGCCGGCCCCAGCAGTGCCCTGGGACTTACGTGGGGGACCTCGGAGGCTGACTCTGACCCAGCCTGCGCCTCCCTCTCAGGCCCAGGCTGCTGGGCAGACACCTGCAGGCCTTGGACGAGTTTGCCCAGGAGAACATCTACGCCCTCTACAAGTTCAACTTCAGGGAGAGTGGGGACACCCCCTCTGCCAAGGACCCGGGCCCAGAGCCCCCCTTCCAGCTGGACCGCAGAATCCGTCTGCAGAGGCTGAGCGGCCCAGGCGGCCAGAACAAAGTGGGTTTCAGACTGGTGAGTGCCCCCCCCGGGCGCTGCGTTGGGTGTGGGCAGGGCAGGGGAAGGGTCTGTGCTGAGCTTACGCCCCCCACCCAGTGCAACAGCACCGGCGGCGACTGCTTCTACCGCGCCTACTCGTCCGGGGTGACCGCCGTGCGGGCCTGGTACCGCTTCCACTACGTGAACATCCTGGCCACGCTGCCCACGGGCCCCGAGGACGGCCACGGCGGCCACGGCGGCCACTTTGTCTTCTCCTGCCGCTACAATGGCCAGGACTGCCAGGCCCGGTGAGTGGGGGCAGGGCGGGGGCCCTCCTCTCTGCCCCACCCAGCGGGTACGGGTGCCACCCATGGGGTCCCGCCCGCAGCAAACAGCTCTCTGCAGAGATAAGGCAGGCTGCGGTCCCCGGGGCCACACGCAATGGGTTCGGCGGAAGGCGGGTGCTGATCTGACCTGAGCCTGCCTCGGGTTCCAGGCACTTCAAGACGTTCCACCACCCCACCTACGGCAGCTGCTACACCTTCGATGGCATGTGGGCCGCGCAGCGCCCAGGCATCACCCACGGTGAATGCCGGCCCGGGGCTGGGTGCGGGCAGGGTGCGCCCTCGGGCCCGGCCTTACGCCCAGCCTCCCGCAGGGATCAGCCTGGTCCTCAGGGCGGAGCAGCAGGACCACCTCCCGCTGCTGTCCACCGAGGCGGGCATCAAGGTCATGGTGCACAAGCGCGACCACACGCCCTTCCTGGAGCACCGCGGCTTCAGCATCCGCCCGGGCACCGAGACCACCATCGGCATCCGCGAGGTGCGGCGCCCGCGCGGGCGGAGGGGCCAGCCCTGGGGTCTGAGCGCGAGGGCGGTTGGGTGGAACTGACCCCGCCCCCCGCAGGACGAGGTGCACCGGCTGGGGAGCCCCTACGGCCGCTGCACGGACAGCGCGGAGGGCG